CTTTTAAAATTTTAAATTAGATGATAAATTTCACTTTTTTATACAAAAATAAAAATTTTATCATTTTTATTAGAGTAAATACTAAATTTAGTCCTCAACCTTTAGTATAAATACTAAATATTGTCTAAACCTTTTATTTGAATAAAAAATGGTGCTCAACCTTTTCAAAATTACCAAACTTAATCTTAAAACCAATTACTTTCATTAATTTTTGAAAGGAAATATTAACTGAGATTTGAGAAGGTTTAATAGAAATTTTTACATAATCTTTCTTTTAATTTTCATTGCCTAAAATTATTTTTATTAAAATTTGGATTCTTTACCCACCTTAACCCTTCTTTTTTTTGGGATTTTTTTTACAAATAAGGGTTTATGTATATGTTACAGGTTACAATCTTATAATTTAAGATGGATTTTCATTTTATATTTTTTGACGTATTTTATAAAATGGTAACTTGGATGATAAATAATTTACAATTAAAAAAATATTTGAGTTATGAAATTTATTATATTATTAAATTATGTCAAAAGTTTATCCGATTGAAGCATGGGCTTTGTCATTCCCTAAAACCAGAAGTGAAATAGATGCCGTATACCTATGAGTGAATCCCATAAGTGTACAAGGCTCAGATCCAGTTTAATATATATGCAACAAACCCTTCCTTTTAATAGTCCACAAAAATCCAAAAAATAAAATAGTTTACATAATAAAAAATTTTAGAATTGAAGCTAACCAACTAGCATGTCACTTGCCTTGATTCCAAAGACTTAAGTCTTGTTACCAAAAAAGTTGTAGAAATAACACCCATTGAACAATCAATCACAAACAAGAAAAAAAGAACAAGCAACAAAATTCTTGATTAGAAGAAGAAGAAGAAGAAGGAGAAGTCTTGTCGAGAGACTAGGAGGTTGACAGCTGCAAGGGTTTTGAATTTCAAATGGAAGAGGAGAGGAAAACCAAGAAAAGAGAAGAGGAAAGCCCTTTCCCCCAAAAATAGGGAATTAGGTTTTTCCTTCTTTTTTGTTCGTCCCTCCCTCTCCATTTTTTTTTTTTGACATCCCCAAAGTTGAAGAGTTGGCAACTTGGTCCCCAAAATTTTCCTTTTGATTAATCATCCCTACCTAAATTAATTAATTAATTATTCAACGTAAGTGCTCAAAATTTGGGGTATTACATCCACCCCTCCTTAAAAGGAGTTTTGTCCCCAAAACTCAAATCTAGGATCATCTAGAGTGGCAAATGGTTTCACATAATTTAAGATAAAATAAGTGCCCATCATATGACAAACTATCGTAGAGCTAATACAATACAGAGTCAGTAACTTAAATGGGATCAGAATATAACTCTAAAGCATATATGTATTGGGAAAACAACTTGAGCCCTCATTAGGTTCTTTGGTAGTCTATAATTTATAAGTTGCTCCATTAACTTTTTTATGAACAGAAAATGGCCTATTATTCTCCCACTATGCAACTCTGATACCAAACCACAACCAATCTTAAAAATAGAGTACTAGCTACTTAATGGGAATAACCATGAAACTAATCCATGAAACAAGCTACTGAAGGCTAGGGTGAAACAAAAAAACCACAAGGAGTGAAAAATAGTGCCAAAGGACATGAGGACATTACTTGAATTATTTTACATTAACCCATAACAAGGATGAGTGCATGTATGAATGAGAGCCCATATACATATATATGTGCATGCATCTGTAAATGCCTTGATGTGTATGCTTTATATGTTTGCACATGTACATATGCGTAGTATGCATGTATGAATGCTTGGATGACTACTGGAACAGAAGAATGCAAGGTAGAATGCCTTTGAAATTCATCTACAAAACGACATTAACCAAGAATTAGAATCAAGTTTAACTAAGCAGTCATAATCAAGAGGCAAGATTTAACCATGAGATAAATAATAAGATTCAAAAACTAGCCCCACAAGAGGATTTCAATAATGACAACTAGAACAAGGATTCAAGAGTTGATATAACCAGAACATTAAGATCTAGTATGTTAAGTAACTATAATTAATTAACAAAACAAAACAATAATTGGGATCAAGACACTTAGAGGATTAATATCTTTTAATTAAAAAGCAGAACAAGAATCAAAGCAGGCAGATGAAAGAAATTTCCCTTAAAACAGAACTCTAAGGCACCAGGTATTTCAAAAAGTACCCCTTTCACATGGTAGCCCATGGAGGCTAAGCAAATTTACAATCAAGCTATTCCTAAAGTTAAGCAAAAATCAAGACATCAACAACATTGAGATTAGCAATTGCAAGATACAAGAATTAAGATGCTTCTATAGATTTTTTATAGTAATCATCACCCCTCCTAAAGAGGTGTCCATATGAAACTTAAAAATCAATAAAATTAATAGATATATTGGTATACAAAAATAGGAACTAGTATAGAATTCAAGATTTGAGTGGAGCAATATTCGTAATTTGAGCAGAAGCAAGTGTCATAACAAGAATAGTTTTTAAGGATGGTTCAAAAATAGATTCTAAAATCGAGTATCAATCAACTTGCATGCTACATTAACATATTTCAGGCTAACTTCAATAACTAATTCCAATTAGAATGCAAAAAGCAATTTTAAGTAAGTATCAACATAACAAGAATTCCACCAATCATAATTTATATTTAGATATCAATACTCAAGAATAAGAACTAGAGTAATCTCAAGAAAATTTTTCAAGAATAGATTTCAAGGGGTTTAACAAGCAATTCCACCACGTATCAAGAATTCCTGGATATTCAAGTAACAAATCCTAGCAAGTGTAGATTACTAAGATGGATCAAGTTTTAAGCACAAGAATTCATAAGCATAATGAGCAAAATAATTTCAAGACTCCTCATCGTATAAAGGCAAATAACAGAAACTAACTAGATTACTATCTCATCAAAATGGATCAGGAAAATTCAAGAAACATGAATCAGAATCATCCCTTGTACAACCTTTTCACTAGTCTCACCATTGTCCTAAAGTCCATTTTATTTCCAATTTTTAATTAGCTTTAGGTATTTTGTTAATCTTAAGCTCTGATACCACAAAATTTCTCATACCCCCAAAACTAGGAGCAAAACAAACACCATACACCTATGAGTGGATCCCACAAGTGTACAAGGCTCAAAACCAGTTTAATATATATGCAACAAACCTTACCTTCTAATAGTCCACAAAAATCTAGAAAATAAAATAATTTACATAATCAAAAATTTTAGAATCAAATTTAACCAACTAACACGTCACTTGCCTTAGATCCCAAAGACTCAAGTCTTGTTACTAGAAAAGTTGTAGAAAGAACACCCACTGAGCAATCAATTTGTTACTAGAGAAGTTGTCAAAAGAATACCCACTAAGTAATCAATCACGAACAAGAAAGGAAGAATAGACAATAGTGATCTTGATTAGAAGAAGAAGCTCTGTAGAGAATTAGGAGGTTGATAGCTTTAAGGGTTTTGGATTTCGAATGGAAGAGGAGAGGAAAACCAAGAAAAGAGAAGAAGAAAGCCCTTTCCCCCAAAAATAGGGAATTAGGTTTTTCCTTCTTTTTTGTTCGTCCCTCCCTTTTTTTTTTTTTTTGACATCTCCAAAGTTGAAGAGTTAGGCAACTTGGTCCCCAAAAAATTTCCTTTTGATTAATCATCCCTACTTAAATTAATTAATTAATTATTCAACATAAATGCTCAAAATTTAGGGTGTTACAGGCTTTACATTAAGTAGAAGGCCAAAAAAGAATATGAAACATGATTTTTGGAGTTTCCCAAAAGAATTTTTTCTATTTATGGGTTTTGGTGGCTTTGCAAAATTTTAATTAGGATTTTTTATTATGAATTTAATGGAAGTGACTAATTATAGAATTCAATCTGGTAATTTAAAAAAGGTTTAAGATTATTTCTAATCTTTTCTAATCTCATTAAAAGGTTGGAACAATATCTAATATTTATACTAAAGACCAAATCTAGTGTTTACCCTTTTCATTATCTAGGGATATGGACTTTACTCCATTTTCAATTAAAATTATCATTTACCTCGTTACATTGCCATTCAATAAATCCTTATAAAGAAAAAAATACAAAATTTGTATTTTTATTTAAAAAAGTGAAAATTTAACTTCTAATTTTGAAACTTAAAAGGTTTATATCCTTCTCTCCCCTTCCCTACTCATCTCTCTATATCTTTCAAACTAAACATAATATAAATAAAAAAAAAAACAAATTTTATATCCTTATATACACTATTTTTTCAATAATTCTGAAAATCATTTTCTTAGAAACACTGAAACATTGAAATAAATTTACTTCCTTTCTTTTTTAATTCTTTTATTTTCTTTTTTGTAAAATTGAGAGTAATTGGATTATATTTTCTATTGTAGTAATAAAATCAATTAATTATTAGGAAGTATAGATTTGCTTTTGAGTGTTCATAATTTACACATAAATCTTATACACATATATAAAAGTCTTACAAATATTTATTATAAATTTTTACCTATGTAGAATGTTAA